CCCCCCCCCCCCCCCGGTAACAACCGTCCTCGCCCTGCTGGCAAGAAAACTCCGTGTGTTGAATGAGGCTGCCTCAATATCCACGAGGAATCTGACTCGGCACCAGATCAGGGTCATTACATCGCTCTCCTCATCGCCTAAACCGCTCGTTGGAATCAACGTGTTATCTTGAGCTCTCTCTGAAACGGTCAACTTCGACCGGGCAGGCCATCATGCCATCATACCATCATGCCGCTAGACCACAGGCAGGTCTCAGTCCTACTGACTGTCATTGCACTGACATGTATTTTTCTATTTTTCTACATGCAGATCAATCTCAAGCGGCGGATCTAAAATCCAGGCACCGAACGAAGACTCCAGAAGTTCAGCAGTTGGTATGTAGGAACCATGGCCCCACTGACTCAATCACCGCACCCTTTGCTCGTCAACCGACTTTGGCCTTCTTGCTAGTCCGCATTCTGGGCGAGGGCTTGTCTCCGGCGTTGTCGGCAGTCGTTGCCCCGTCCGGCTCCTCGGCAACCTGCTGGTGCTGCTGCTGGTGCTGCTGGTGCTGCTGCTGGTGCTGCTGAGTTGCAGAATCCACCAGCTCGGACCAGCTCTTTAACCCGCAGCTTGCGAAATAGGCGCGCGCCTTGCCATCTATATCTAAGAAACGTCTGTTGTGTGTGGCCTCCTTGTCCATCGCCACGTGAGACGGAGGAGCTAGCGCGCCTAACAATGATCATGGTCTGCTGGGCTGCTTTCGCTCGCAGGGTCTGTCTTCAATCCCTCTCCAAATGCACCTATGGTATACTCTGCGTACCCCCTTGCGGCGGCGGTGCCGAGGTTTGCGGCACTAAGTTGTATATTGGAAAGGTGTTGCTGGTCATACACGCCACGCGCGCGATATAGACGGAGAGGGATAGCCAGACAAAGAGATGCTGGCTCCTATGGTGCGAGGAGGCCTGCAGAGCCTGGGCCTCTTGAGCCCGGAGTGGCCAGACTGGGCGGTGGACACATTCGTTTCGCTGAGCCTTTGCTGCGCGGTGCTGGTGGCGGCGCAGTGGCTGTACGACAACAAGCAGCGATCACCGCCGCCATCATCACCATCAGGAGTTGATGGAAGGGAAGCAATGGGGGACAAAGCACGGCAAGATTGTGTCAGCGAAGTTGTGGTGGGGTTGGCGGCTCCCGCGAGATTCCGACGGTGAGTGAAGCAGAGAAAAGCCATTATGCTGGCACACATGCACCACCTTTTCATGCACCAGGGGGAGGCGAACATGTAGGAGACGCGGCGGGTAAGTTGCCGTGGTCGTGCGGTAGGGATCAGTTGCGTTATCCACGCCTTCCCGTGAGCATTCAAGACAGATATACGTTTTTCAGGGCCCTTAGCTGTAGGCTCTACTGGTAGCGTTCCGTAATATCCGGTCGTTTGCACTCCACTGACGTGAGAGCTACTGCTGTAATGGATCACGTGGTGAGGGCGCCGAAAACCCCCCACGTGATGTGTGTATCTTTATCTTCCGTTGATGCGCGGCGGAGCTTGTGTGTCGACTGCAATCTCGCCTGCAACGACAGAGTGGTACATGCAAACAATACACCACGTCTTCCCCTCGTGACGCCGTGCCATATCCGCACAGCAGTGCGTCGAGACCTAGAGGCCGTGCCATATCCGCACAGCAGTGCGTCGAGACCTAGAGCTCGAGCTGATTCATGTTGTCCTGCGGATACCTCAATATGATAAAATAAAGCCCGGCGGTTGCGAGAGATACGAAACACCTCAGAACGATTTTCAAAGCTCGATCACCCCGCAACAAAACAGAGTGAGAGTGACGGTGCCGACAAACGGCGGCGTCGGAACCGTCCCGTGGAGAGCTTCTCGAAAATCAATCATTTGGTGTTGACCTCTTTGTCGCGGAGTAGTCGAGCTTTGACAATCAGTCCGGGGGGTGTGGTATCCCACGTACCCTACCGTATTCATTCATTCGTTGTCTTTCTTAAGGCTGCCGTAGTATTCACGACCCACACGACATCTTTTGGGAACCGTTCACTGTAGCTGATTTTGCAGGCGTGGTGAAAAACGCGGTTGAAAGCAACACGTCGCCTTGCTTTGGGCGACGTGTCGGTCCACCGTGTCTCGTGGACACAGCAGTCGGAGCACAAACGGGGAAAAAAAGGTCCTGCCTTCTAGCGACAGCTCTGCCGAGGCCCACCGCAGTACCCCACGCGATCTCCCCAAGTTCACAAGATACGAGGGCAGTAGAAAAACCGATTAAGCAGAAGAGGAAACTCCGGTTCGATTTCACTGACAACACCAGTCACTCCCATTGTTGAGGTCGAAACCGCCACCGTTTGCCCAGAATCGGACTGCCCTGAGTCACGACTGGCTGTGTAGAATGCCGGATACGACATAGGGTATGTATCACCCATCAACGTAACGTGACACCCCCGACACCCATACAATCACCCGGTGGTAGTAAGGGCGGCATAAGATACCACACCCCGCAGACAATAACACGCCCGGCGTGCTTTCTTGTACCGTAACAAAGTCGGTTCCTGGTACCATAAGGTTTTTAAGGTTACGACTGCGGCTGTAGTTTTTGTGCACGTGTAGCGCGAGGTGCCCACTGCAACCTGTCCCCGATGGTGGTGCACACTACAACAAGGGCCCCCGTTTCTTTTTTCGACTCCACCGAAGGGAAGGCAGCCCTTGGCCTTCTGCACCGCTTCGTGCTTGCACAACAAATACACCCTTTTCGCGGATAAGGGGCCATGGTACATAGTCGTTCATTGTTGTTCGTGCCATGGGCGCTCGAAAGCCTCGTTGTACTTGATCCAGAACACAACAATTATTGAAAGTGCCGTATGTCATTGTTGCACCTGAAAACACGACGTGCTGCCTAGGAGGGATGCAAGGGTCCCCGCAGCATGACAAACACGGCCATCCATGATGATGAGTACCCCGCTACCCCCCCCCCTGCGCGCTATCCCCTGTTCCCCCC